CCCCCCCCGCTTTTTCCCCTGCTTGACGGCGGTCGTTCTGGAGGGAAAAGGGGAAAGATTAAACGGAGTTGGAGCGTGTTAACTAGTCACAGAATTAAATATTATAGCACCAGTCATGGTGGTGAAATGGGGGAAAAAACGATCAGGGGCGAGAAGTGGGGCCGTATCGGGGTTTATACATGGCCCAATCTAAACGCTGTATTTCTCGTTTTTGACTAGGCGGATGGAAACATCTTCAATCAGCAGTCCAGAAAACGATGCGCAGGACAGCTTCTTGGCACCATTTTGGGGTAAAAGAGAGCCAGAAAGCAGAACACAAGGACAAGCAGCAGTGGTGCTGCTAATTAGACAGCTTTTTTTGAGATTCACTAACCACTCCGCTTAGCCTTGCGGTTCACTTTCGGTGGGCTAACCGGCTCATTACGTTAAACGTCTGAGTGCTGATAAGCTATGGTACGTATACCATGAAAAGCTGAGTTGGAATGAAATGGTGCCCCGGTAGCGTAACTGGTAGCGCACTTGCCCGGAAAGCGAGAGGTGCGGGTTCTAGTCCCGCCTGGGGCGAAAGTTTTGTTCACAACCCAGCATTCTTGTGAGAATTTACTCAGACTACACAACTAATTTTGAATAGAATTTCAAAATTCCCTCCACATACAATACATCCAGCGCTTAAGAAAGAGTTAAAATTTCAATCACGGTTACTTCCGAAATTTTTCTATTGCTCCCACCCTCGGGGTAGATGGAATCCGACAATTCTCTCTCACGAGCAGTTACTAATTAATCTCGGACGGGTTCATTTGTTCCAGCCACATGTGGTCCTAATCGATAATTACGAACTACTATTTTTTAAGGTTTACTAGATGGCGCTTCTCCCACAGACATCAACGACGATCTTAGGCCAGTTTTCGTCACTGCATTCTCTCAGTCGCACTTTATGGAGGGCAAAAGACTGGTAAGTATCCATTCAAAAGGCCACATGCTTTCGGAAATAGGGCATAGTTAATAGTTTTGTTGATTAGGCAGGAGCTCTCTAATTGCAGTCGGTCTTCGCTGGGTGGGGCTTGTTAATTGGAAACGTTTCCTGCCAAATTTCAGATAGCCAGTATCAGGAAGTTCCACAAAACGGCCATAGTCATCGTGTATGATCTTGGACTCACTTTGAAAGGTGCTGTGCGAGTAAAGCGATGGTGTCAAGTGATATATCGTCGATTTCGTTTCGAAGACTATCCAACATATTTTGAACAGCTGCACACGTTCCGGTGGAAGCCAGTTGTGATAGCGGTCAGTTTTCATTTGTAGTCCATCAGCTCGAATGTGCTGTCCTAGAATAGTACTCGATTCTCCATCCTCAAACGTGCGTGACAAAATAATCAGCACTACTAGAAAAGTCACCCGTGACATTGATTTTTTTCGCGACGCTGCCCTATGTATATTTGTGTTTCCGCGGTATGTGACCAACACACGAGGTGGCAATCATGTAGAAATCACTGCTCAAAGCAACAATCCCACATGAAATTAAGTGGAAAAATCTAATCTGTGGACAAGGATAGAGTAGCCCACGAGTATCACAGATGTGCCGTTGTCGCGGCTCGAAAGTGCGCGACAATGGCGCTAGGGCCTTACAAAGTGAGCTAATGACGACTAATGTGAGCTAATGGACGAGATACCGCGCACACCCCATGACACGCAACGTGGATTACGACGTAGCGGCTAGTTCAAATACGCGCAGGTTGTGGAGCCATGGAGCAAGCAGTTTCAGAAACCTCGTCCCTTCCTTATTTCAAGAGAGAAGAGAGGGGTTCCTTGTCGAGGGGCTCACCGATAGGTTACTTCGCTTCTTTTTTCATACTTGAACAATGTGACATCCACAGTTTTCTTATCGACGCTGAGGTTGCTGCTTTGATTTGAGGCTGGATTTTATGTCGTATTCTATGGTGCTAGGCCTTCATTCCGAACCTACCTGATTGGATACCATGGCTACATTTGTGGTTGAGGAGAACCTTCCCGTTGACGATCCCTTTGAAATTTCGACGCTCACTTTACTTGGAAGTAAACACCAAACTTTCAAACATACCACATTTAAGGAGACTCTCAGAGATTATGGAGCGGTTTGGTACATGGACACCTCTGTGATTATGGAGAAAGGAGATCTTCGACATGTGCAAGCCTTAGTAGCATGCAAAGCTAAACCGCGTATCAGGTTGGTACTTTAGTGTTTGAACCGAGGTTGTCTCATTTCAGAGAGAGTTCTGAAAAAGGAGTGAGATGCTCGTGGAGCGAGAATAACCAGTGTATCGTGCGAACACCCAAGCCATAAAAGCGGTGCTCACGCTGGTTCAAGGCGGAGCGGTTTTGATGACGTCATGAGACGCCATCGATGGAACGCCGTTGAGAGTTGCTAGCAACCACGCCTCCTTAGCGCCCTGAGGGCCTAGCCTACGAATGAAGTGTCGTTGATTCGGTTCCCGTCGACGTCTGCCTTTTGCAAATCATGTTTGATACCTAGTCAGAGCTTCTACTTCATCTTTTGACATTTTCTTTTCGCATGAGCAGACAATCACAGCTACTATTACACTTGTTGTGTACATTGGAGATGGTAAAGCTGTGTGCTACTTTTTCTATTCTCAACGTTGGTTTAGAATTCAGAACTCATTTCATACATTTGTCATTATAATTTCTTTCAACACTGGTGGAATAATACAAAAAAATGGGTGAAGCAGACATGCTGTTCACAAATCGCACATCTGATAGCTGCTGCTTCCTTACAATCATCAAAGAAGCAGTCGATAGTCCAAGATTGAACAAATAGCCCCCAGGAGGAAAAAAAAAAAAAAAAAAAAAAAAAAAAAAAAAAAAAAAAAAAAAAAAAAAAAAAAAAAAAAAAAAAAAAAAAAAAAAAAAAAAACAACCCCTGGGTGAGCATCAGTATACCCTGCTTTATACCACATCAGCAACATGGTGACAACTCTATATGCCATGTCAAACACTCGATCTCCATGTTCTGACAAGCTCTTATTCGAGCATATGTCAAAAACTGAACGCAGCATGATTTGCAAAATAACCGGCGCCGACGGGAAACGAACTCACGACACCGTGCAAAAATGAGCAAGAGCCTTACTATTACGCCACGGCAACACGACTTGTAACACCAGAAATCTTCATCTTTCCGTACTCATGTGCAGCCAATTTTGACAGGTCACAACTTGTTTGGCAGGTTCATTTTGCAGTTTTAACTTCCATATTTGTAATCACCCTTCACAAGCTCTATCGATGTATCTGGGTCTCGATTCGAAGTTCCATGGGAAGTTCAATGCCTTCCCTGGTTAGTGGAAAAAAGCGGATCTCCTAAGGGTGCGGACCGACGCAGTTCGCAGCAGGGGACATGGCCGTTCCCGTGGCGCACAACGCCCACCAACTGGCCAACCACATGCCGCAAGTCTCTAGCCGTTTAGCAGAGGAAGGGGTCGTATTTCTCGGTTTTTGGGCAGCTTCTCGTGGTTTTTCTCTCCTCCCTGCACCACTGACCACCTCTCTTAATTGTAAGGGACTGCCTTCTACTCGATTCTCTATGTGTGCGACTGTTGGAAAGCCTTGATGGAAATTTCCCACTTCAAAATTTTACTCCGCGTTGGTCTAGGAACAGCAGAAGGCTTATATGATTTCTTCTAATTTCTGGCTTAGGATTCTGAAATCATAAAGCTCACTGCATCACGTTCACACATTAACTTTCTGCATCAAAGGCAGAGTTCACAATGAAAAGATAGGTCACTGGAATTCAAGATAGAAGTGGTCAGTGGTGAACAGATGAAGAAAAAACTAAGAAAGCCAAAACTAGAACCCAAGAAGTGGGACACTCTGTGCCTCTTGATTTGCTCGTTATGCATGGCTCATCGGTGTTGACCTCATCGACGCTAACGCACGCTCTGTCATGGCTGGAGCCAGATGGCGAGGAGGTGGGCGGGCAGCGGCGATAGCGGTCATGATAGGTCGACTGGGGCATATCCCTGGTTGCGAATTGCGTGTCGGTCCGCCTGCCTTTTCACTAGGTAGTTTTCTTTTCCTTCTTTATGAGGAAAACCTTCCCGTCGACGATCCCTTTGAAATTTCGACGCTCACTTTACTTGGAAGAAACGCCAAACTTTCAAACATACCACATTTAAGGAGACTCTCAGAGATTATGGAGCGGTTTGGTACATGGACACCTCTGTGATTATGGAGAAAGGAGATCTTCGACATGTGCAAGCCTTAGTAGCATGCAAAGCTAAACCGCGTATCAGGTTGGTACTTTAGTGTTTGAACCGAGGTTGTCTCATTTCAGAGAGTTTCTGAAAAAGGAGTGAGATGGCTCGGTGGTACGAGATAACCAATGTATCGTGCGAACACCCAAGCCATAAAAGCGGTGATCACGCTGGTTCAAGGCGGAGCGGTTTTGATGACGTCATGAGACGCCATCGATGGAACGCCGTTGAGAGTTGCTAGCAACCACGCCTCCTTAGCGCCCTGAGGGCCTAGCCTACGAATGAAGTGATCACAACGCTTCTCCCTTCGCCTCTCGTGTTCACTACCTTTCTTGAACAGATGATGGATCGCTGTGTGAACGATTCGACCTCTTGGGAAACGTCACTGTTTGATCGCTTTAAAATTATGTGGCTGCAACCCTGGCGGATAGAATCACCATGGCGTAGCAGACGCTCTTCAAGATTTTCTGTAGCTCAAAATCTGCCTCATACCTTCTGTAAAGAAGGCTGCCGTTGCTTTTTTCCATACTGCTCGCAACACTTACGATTGCTGCCCTCCATGTGGTAGTACATGACTCCAATATGTTATTTGCGAATGACAAACGTTTAGAAAATTAGCGTTTTATCCTCCCAGCACAGTGTACACTTCAAAAGGTTCGGTGTATTCAACCTTTTCCAGCGGTATTGATTCCCAGACCATTTCTGAACAGCTGCGACTTTGCCCCAGTGGAATTTTGCCCCGAAAAGGAGTAGCCATTTCTGAATTTGTGACCGTATCTTCCCTTATAAGCCGCAGCAATAAACTGGAAATACCCTATGGAATCTTTCCTATCAAAGCACCCTTTTTATGTATCAAAGTAACATTTTTTCTAAACTGAAAAAAATCGAATCTCAACGAGTTGTTACAAAATTTTGGCACCAGCCAGAACTCACAGCAATTTTACAGTTTTCCGGTCTTGACAGCTGAACAACGTGACCTACGGGAGTCTCTGTGGAACAGTAGTTCTGGATGGGATACAGTTCAGTGGACAGCGAATATAAACGAATGCAGGAAGGCAAGTTTTGAACGTTTCTTAGGGCGGACTTCACGATGAAAAGGCACCCCGTTAGAAATAACAGTAGGTGTGAGGTGGTCAGTGGTGCCTAATTGAAGAAAAAACCACGAGATAGCTCAGGAGCCAAGTCATAGGCTGTTCTCTACCCATTGATTTCCGCATCGATGCGACTCTCATCAGCGTTGCCCTCTTCAACGCTAACGCTCTCTCTCTGCTGAAGGGCTTGAGCCAGATGGCAAGAAGGTGGACGTGCAGTTGCGTGGTTCCGGCCACGCAAGTCCACCAGGGGCGTACCCCTCGATAAGAATTGCGTGACCACACCCTGAGCCCCAACCTCAGACCTTATCGTGAATCGTCCTAAAAATACCATGCAGGCCGTGGACGGGACGGGCACCCGAAAGCAGTGGACTACGAGAGGACATTATCGGACAGGAGAGGAAACTAGATAAGAGAGAGACGCAGACATCGAAGCGGTGGACTTGGGTGGTTGTTAGAGGTTGCTCGGATGCAAAAGCCCATTGGCTCCCATGCAGGCTCGAAATTTTGTACCGGAAAGATTGCTCAACTCAACTGATAGGGGAATATGCCCAATTTTGTAAACTCATCGGATTCTTGTCTTCTTCTTCTTCATGTAGCTAGTGAATAACCAGTTTCAGTCGTCCTATTTACTACACAGCTTCACCGGCCATGGCATTTATGCTGCAACTGATCCAGGTGAGTTTCACATAATTTGCAGATTAACTTCAAGATTCAACAGTATTCAGCTCCATTTCATCTGGTCCGTTTTCAGCGCTATACTCCTACTTTCCCGTATCAATCGAGGATTTGAAAAAACCAAAGGCAAAGATGTACGAAGCGGGATTGGTGCTTGCCGTAAGAACACGTGAAACGACAGAGAATATTCTAAAATGGTGCGTAACAGTCAGCTAAAACGTTGCACGATGACAGTATTGCACGGCCTACTACGCGCTGCGTTTCCTAAAAGCTATCAATCAATACTGCGGTGTTCTAACAATTTTTAAAACATTTCCTAAAGCGTATTAATAATAGATGTGCTTTTAAGGAGTGTTCTCTGTGCTCTCGAAGAGAATTGCATGGGCACCCAAATTGTTCCAAACACTTGCGACTTCAATAGAAGTGACTACTATACCTCATTTGCTCGCTGTCACAGGTGACTATTAATTTTTCAATGATTTTCTCAAACTAATCGCATTAAAATCACACTTCACTGTGAGAGGAACAAATGCAGCACCTTTCCCAACTAACCGATGTTCATTAAAAGAAGGGTTACGATAATTGGAAGCGATAGCAGGAAGCGCATTGGGGAAGTTTATGCGAAACAAGAAACAGTAGCTTAGCTGCCAAGGAAACGAAATGTAGCGCTCTCACGACGAGAGATGCTTGGCTACTTTTACAGTACCTAAATCGCCACGCCTCCTAGGCGCTCCACCCATTAATTTGGTTCTTGATTTGGTAAGCTGTGTTGCCAGCAGCGGCACAACTGGAGCAACTCGACTGGAGCATGGATTGGCATGGTGCCACCAAACGCGTTGCGGTAAACTCGTCCATACGTCCGCCGTCTTAGCCGCTGCCCGTCCTTGAGCGAAAATCAACGGCCAAACAGGAAGTCTTTTCGCGTTTTCTTGACAGATTTCTCTTCTGTTTCGCCATTGACGTACCATTTAGCATCCCCATTTCTCCTCTGAAAACCTTCAGATCTATCGTAATCGTTCCGTTTGATTGGCCCTCGTGACTACATAGCCTACCATGCACAATATGATTTAGAAAATTTACAGGTATGATCAATCGGTTGTCAACGTTCTACTAGCCGACTCCTATTATTACGATAGACACTACTATTCAAGCGAAATCACAGATTTTTTTCGTATTCAACGATTCCTAACGCGTTCAGTGAGAAATCGTGAACTGGAATGCGCCTAGCTCGGTGTTAAGTTCTTTCCGCTCCATTACTGGTAACAAATACCGATTCTATCAGATATGCTATAGCTGCATTTTATGTTACTTTTCTACGAGATGTATCACAGATTTTTATTGAGAATAAATCATATTTACAATGTGAAGACAAAAAAGAAATCATTTCTGATTTGCGGGGCGCATGAATTTATAAAGGGCAGGACTGGTGCCTTACTTCTGAGACGCCATGCAATTTGTCGTCTTACTTGTTACTTGTAACAGATATGTAGTAGAATCATGAGATGACAAAGAATCGAGTGAAACCCTGGTTCCGCTTCTTGGGATTTCTTCGCATAAGCTGAAATGAACCCTTTTCTACGCCCTAGCAGTAGACGGCAGTAGATGGGAATATCAAAAGAAGTTACCATGCGGGAAATTTCGTAATCCGATCGATAGGTATCTCCCACCACGAAGAACTGATTAGCTATGTTATAAAATAAGTTTTTTTCCACTATCACCTAAGGAGGCCTAGTATGGTTCAGTACAGCGCTATCTATAAACCTCCCTCCTGAAACAAGTGTTGCTCCGGCAACTTTGCAGGGTGGGTTGAAGAGGGTGGGGTGATACAAAAATGTCTTTCTGGGCTTCAATGAAGACTTAAGTTGTACTGCTGAGTACGGAGGATCGATAATCGTGCATTCGCGGAGGACCAGACGCAGCTCTTTCACTTAGTGGAAAAAAGCGGATCTCCTAAGGGTGCGGACCGACACGCAGTTCGCAGCAGGGGACATGGCCGTTCCCGCGGCGCACCACGCCCACCAACTGGCCAACCACATGCCGCAAGTCTCTAGCCGTTTAGCAGAGGAAGGGGTCGTATTTCTCGGTTTTTGGGCAGCTTCTCGTGGTTTTTCCTCCTCCCTGCACCACTGACCACCTCTCTTAATTGTAAGGGACTGCCTTCTACTCGATTCTCTATGTGTGCGACTGTTGAAAAGCCTTGATGGAAACTTCCCACTTCAAAATTTTACTCCGCGTTAGTCTAGGAACAGCAGAGCTTATATGATTTCTTCTATTTCTGGCTTAGCGATTTCCTGAAATCATAAAGCTCAACTGCATCACGTTCACAACATAACTTTCTGCATCAAAGGCAGAGTTCACAATGAAAAGATAGGTCACTGGAATTCAAGATAGAAGTGGTCAGTGGTGAACAGATGAAGAAAAAACTAAGAAAGCCAAAACTAGAACCCAAGAAGTGGGACACTCTGTTGCCCCTTGATTTGCTCGTTATGCATGGCTCATCGGTGTTGACCTCATCGACGCTAACGCACGCTCTGTCATGGCTGGAGCCAGATGGCGAGGAGGTGGGCGGGCAGCGGCGATAGCGGTCATGATAGGTCGACTGGGGCATATCCCTGGTTGCGAATTGCGTGTCGGTCCGCCTGCCTTTTCACTAGGTAGTTTTCTTTTCCTCGACCTCTGACCTTATCGTGGAATCCTTCTTTAAGAGAATCTGAGCGATGACTAGAATAGAATTTTGGTCATTAATGCACGAGAAATAATGGAATATCCAGGAGTGGAAAGAGTAATTCTTATTACATTATTAGGTTCCATCATTGCTAATGTTTAGCTACTAAAGTGCAAGCCTTAACATTAGTAATAGTGCAGTTAGGTATTACGTGCTCTAAAACAGGTTATGAAAGTTATCCTTCACACTGGTTCTACCTCTCTTCACTACATCGATACATATTCAAAAGAATAATATAGACAACTAGGATACTTGACGCTTCAACCTTAATAGGGTGGAGGCTTCTACGGATACTCTGCAGTTTTTTTTTCACCACAAGGTACAGGTGTGTTCAGGAAACATTGGCGATCCTCGTTTGCATTCGAACGTTCTGGCAAATTCTGGTTGATTTGACAGGACGACATTCACACGATACATGTCCGGTGCATGAACGTCGTTGGCCAACTTATTCAGAAGGGTTGCTCGGCGAGCACTTCCACACCATATCTGAAAACAAAGACTCACCCCGATTCGATGGCGCTAGCTACAACATTAGTTGCTTGCTTATGGTCTGCACAGCCCTTACCCTCCTCCCTCCCATCCCCTCCATCCCCGCTCCTACTGCCTTCAAAATGAAAGAGAATCTTCCTTCCTGAGGACTACGTTAGTCGTTCAGAGCTTTATAGTGATCATGATGCAACACAATTTCGTAAATTCCCGTAGACTTTCTTTGCAGATAAGTTTTTGTGAACAATGCTGGTGCTGAAAAAGAGATAAGCTGATATTATAATAGCTCAAAGAAAGATTTCACGTTCAGGACGGAGGTCGAACAAGTGGAAACTTACTTAGTGGAAAGACGGGCAGATCCCCTCCCCCAAGAGTTTGATTATTGAAAAATCAAAAACCACATTTGCACGAAAAATGCAGACAAGCAATTTCCAATGAATCGGACAATAAGATTGGTTTCAGTGCTCATTTGAGAAATAATGGTTTCTCCCAAATCACCTTACCTGGTTTCTAAAATTGGCTACACGATGGCTTCGAAAGCTCATGTCTTTATCATGCGCACGATTCTTTTACACGTCTCGCCCTAGGGATTAAACTCGCCAAAACTCGCGCAATGTATACACAAAGTGACTGGCGACATAGATCCAGGGTTAGGATTAAAAGCTAGGGGTGAATGATCTTGCCGTTTTACTCGACAACATTTGTCGGCAATTTTTGAAAGGGCCCGCTACGCGGGACCCTGCAAGTTGCTGGAGTGGATGGCACTGTAGCACCTAAGCTGCTCACCGTAATGAAAGTCGCGTAGAGTAAATGGCCGCGTCTCTACTGGCCCTCCCTCCCACCTCACACATGCACACGTCACGCATTGTACCCCTGGGCCGAGGACTCTCCCTCCTCGCCAATTGTTGGAAAAATCACACAGCTCCGCAAAAGTCGCTGAAGCTGATTAAATGGAAGGTTTACTTTTTGACAAATTGCGTGGCAGGATTTTTCTGCTGAGCTTTACTGGGCGATAGGTGATGGTTACTGGGAGTTTAGAGATGGATTTGATGTACTGAGCTGATATTATAATAGCTCAAAGGAAGATTTCACGATCAGGTTGGGGGTCGAAGTGGAAACTTACCTGGTGAAAAGACAGGCACATCCCCTAAGGGTGCGAACCGAGACGCATCTCGCAGCGAAGGACATGCTCGTACCCGCTGCGCTATCGACGTGGCACGCCCACCGAATGGCTAACCACATGAGGCAGGTCTTCAGCCGTTTAGCAGAGAAAGCGTCATCATTGAAGAGAGGCACACCGATGTATGTCGCACCAGTGCGGAAATGCAACGAGCAAGGATGGGGTCACTGTCGGGTTCTGGGCCAATTTCTCATGTTTTTTCGTTCATCACGGCACCACTGAGCTCCTCTACTTCAACTCTAATGGGCTGCATCCAAAAGTAAACTCCGCCTACTCCGCCTTGTTCAAGAGAGTAAATATAGAACGAAAAGGAAATCGTGATATTACTGAATTGCAATAAAAGATGAATTGTGAATCGCTTATCTCTGGACATTTGTGGCCTTTAATTTGTGATGAATGCTCAGTTCTATGATTGTGTATAAATTGGCTTGAGTAAGAGGATTTTAATGTTCACTTACGAAGGCGTAATTCATGAAGAAGTAGTGCATCTGAGTATAATCTTCCAGTCCAGCAATGGTGAAGCGTTCTGATGTGCGTTCGGAGAGACGTAAAGCAGCCTGAATATTGAAAATAGAAAAGATGAGTGGAATCACTCAACATGTTCGGTAGCCGTTACAACGTAGATGAAAAATGAACTGTTAAGGATTACTTGATCAGTGCCGATTTTTGGGAGGAGGTGGTGTAGCAACAAGTGGTTCCACATATCGCGCATATAGTACTGGGATCGAATACAGACTAGAGACAGCCCCAGATTATTCGAACCATTCATGCCCTCATGATTCATTTCTTAGCCAAGGTTTCTATGAGAACATAAACACGCTGACTTGTACGTCTGCTAGTCGCAACCCTAGATGATAAATCACATTGGAATACCATTAGGACTCGAATAAAGTGCCAATGCGTGGCGCATCCCACAAAGAGACGGATCAAAGGTGAAAATTCCACGTTTTATCACCACTGTTCAAGAAGGCGAAAATGGCATATGGGAAAATGGTGCCACATACCAAAAGTATTTGGCTTAGACCTTGGAATCAAGCCCACTCAGGTCAAACAAGCCTCCCATCCTCTAAGGTCGCAAACCGCTGTCGGATAGTCTGCGAGAATAAAAGTACTAACATTACATCTATTTGAAATGAAAGTCATTGGAAAGGCTTGTTCGCTACAGTTATATACAAGAGCCGATTGGGCTGCTAAATGAGTTTGAAGGCAAATTCAGTGATTTCATCCAATCATATTCCGATTAACACGAACCCGAATCGCTGCTCGCATTCCTCCATTGTCGGCGATGTTCTCCCCTTCGGTTCGCCTTCCATCAATCTGAATAACAAAAATCCTAATCGGTCTCCTTAACATTAACTTGGAATATATGCGATTTTAGACAGAGTAACTCCACATTATTTTAAGGGAGCAGCCAAAATTTAAAAAAAAAGAATAGCGAAGTCAGCGGTGGTAAACGCGTGATGCTATTCGGAACTCATTGGGTTCGCTCACTGTCTCTTGAACAGCTCTGGGCTTACCTGAACATTCAGATCGTTGACAGATATACTGCCATACTGATGATCGAAGCATTGTTTTTTGTGCTCAAAGTTCTTATATGTGGCCTCATCCCACCAATCGTTTTTATTGCCAAGTTCGTCGTAAGAAGCACCTAAAATTGTAGACACGAAAAGAAATTAAAAAGTAGGAAAGCGTAAAGAAGAGAAGGAAAATTCCAGCCAGCTCCAATCCCTTATCTACAAGGGACAGAACGGATGCGCTACCTAATATTTGAAACCATGTGCAATTATAGGGAAGCGATCAAAAGTGTTCGCTGTAATTGTTTTCGTGCATTTCTCTCTTTTTTTTAAAGTGATGCAAGGATTAGCTAGACATTTTGGCGCTAACTTAGTTGGAGGGGGAAAGGATCACGCAGCGGCGCGGCGCCCTCCAGGGCTTAGTCCGCCGAGCGCATTTCGAAACTGCCACGTGGCGACGAAATAGTAACTGCCCCTTGGACTAAGCCTTAGAGGAAGACGAACAGAGCGCCGCGCCGCCGCGTGTCCCCCCCCCCCAACTAAATTAGCGCCGACACTTTCCTCTAAGTCGTCAATCCCAAAAATACGAAGAACGAAAATATTAAGAGAAATAGCGGCGTAATGTGGCCTGAGGGGGGCAGTCACCGCCGCGGCGCGTACCTCAGTGCGGAGCGGGGGAATCCGTGAGCCAGGGAAGTGTAGCCAGTCTAGGGGGTGGGGGGTGAGGGCAGTCACTTGACATGCGTGAAAAGCTAGGAATGTTCGAGTTTCTACTTCGCGAACATTCTGTGCACCGACTGCCCCCCCCCCGAACCACATTGAGCCGTCATGGAATACCAATATTCGAAGAGTGTTCTTCAATTTAGAAATGATGCACAAAAAACCAGGTCAGCGATCACATTCAGTCGCTGCTTACCACTGTCATCGAAGGCGTGGGTGACCTCATGTCCAGCGACGACTCCTATGGCACCGTAGTTTAGTAGCCTGTAAAAATTAGGTGCTCAGGAAGTATGCAAGAATAGCCCACATTAAGAAGACAGTCGTAGCTTATTGAAGGAGGACTCCACGATTAGGTGATGGAACTGGAAACTTACCGATGATCCTTCGAGGTCGCACCAGTGCGGAAGGAACAGAGCCCATTTCTCAGGACCATTTAACGGTTTTTCTCATTCCCGGAGCCACATACCACCTCTACCCTAATTCTAATGGGCTGCCTTCTTGGGTGAACTACGCCTTCAAAGTAGTCATGCACTTGAAGTCACTCTTTTCCTTAAACGCATAACTACTTCATTTGTAGCACCAGCTGCAGCGTGCAAGGTTTCATGCGGGGAAAGAAAGTCTACGAAAAGAAACAAACTTCAAAAAGCGTACGGAACGAAGTATGTAGAGGGAAGGTCTAGTATAAGGCCTACCGTCGTGACTGAACTCAACCTCCCAAATCTAGGGTAAAGATAAAACGTTCCAGCACGATATATTTGGCTACAAAAGAAGAGTGAAAGTGAAAGAATTGTTTTTGCGTGTTTAAAGAGCCCAAAACTCCATCTGACAGTACTCAAGAGTAAATTGAAGAGCATAGCAGTTCTTCATTTTTTGGATTCACCAGTACAAATGATTTTTTCATCTTTCTCGTGTGTGATGTTTCCGAGAGATGGGCTTTGAAATCGTCTCAGTACCTATCAGAAACCTTAACCCTGCATTTCTCCACATAGTACTCAGCTGCCAGAGTAACAGTTTTCAAGATTTTGATAACCAGAAAACCAAAAACTCACATTTACACGAAAAATGCGGCCCGGTAATCTCCAATGAATCGGACAATAAGATTGGTTCCACTGCTCATTTGAGAAATAAAGGTTTTTCCCAAATCACCCTAACTGGTCTCCAAAATCGACTACACAATGGCTTTGAAAGCTACTCCCTTCAACATGCGCACCATTCTTCCCCCTGGGAGTGGTGTACGGCGCCAATGTCGTCCGCGGTTAGGATGAAAAGCTAGGGGTGAATAGTATTGCGTTCATACTCGACAACATTTGTCGATAATTTATGAAAGGGCCCGCTCCGCGGTACCCTTCAAGTTGCTGGAGTGGGTTGCTCCGTAGCACCTTGCTGTGCACCGGGGTGAAGGTGGTGTAGAGGAAGTTGCAGTGTCTTCACGAACCTCTCCTTTCCCTCCACACACACGCCGCGCACTGTGTCCCCGGGTCGAAGACCCTCCCTCTCCGCCAATGGTTGGAAAGATTCCATGGGTCCGCAAAAGTCGCTGGAGCTGACCAAATGGAAAACCCCGTTTCGGACAAATTGCCTGTCAGGCTTTTCTGCTAAGCTCTACTGGATGGTTACAGGGAGACTACGGATGGCTTTGATAGTGGGTTGATATTATAATAGCTCAATAATGATTTCATGATCAGGTCGGAGGTGGAAGGAGTGAAAACTTACTTTCTGGAAAGACAGGCAGATCCTCCAACGATAAGGGTGCGGACCGAGACGCATTTCGCAGCGGAGAACATGGCTGTCCCCGACACCGCACGCCCACCGCCTAGCTAACTACATGAGGCAGGTCTTCAGCCGTATAGCAGGAACAGCATAGCGTTGAAGGGGGCAGCGTCGATGAGAGTCATGAAAGCATCTAGGCGAAAATCAACGGACAAGGAAGGGGTCCCATTTCTCGGGTTCTGGGCCGTTTCTCATGGTTTTTTCTTTATTCCGGCACCACTGACCACCTTTGCCTTAATTCTAATGGTCTGCATTATAGTTATAAACTCCCCCTTCCTTGACTTTGGGCCCTGTGAAGTGTTACAAGTAGCCTAGTATGGCGGTTTCCTATAATGCTAGGTAACCAACCAGTGCTTTCTTTTTAGAAGCTGCAACACATTCTGACAGGGGGACACAACATGGAGACGTCATTGGTAACAGGGTGCTGAGACGGTTTGAGCACATCACCCAGCGCATGGTGAAAGGGCGCTCCCAGTGGTTTCCAGTAGTCGTACCGCTCCAAAATCCTTTCACCATTGACGTCTCCAAATTGCCTCCCCCTCTCGGTCGCTGTGATCACTACGGAGCGAAATTTTAGAGGATCAGTGCTCAAACTGTGATCGCTTGGTACACGCTGCGGCGCAATGCACGCAACCATGTGAAGACACATTCCGGTACCCGATAGGAGACCCGGCGCGCAGCGAGAAGGCAGAGACGCACATGGGTCAGCGGACGAGTCGTGGCGCGTGCTGTGTAATGTTGGACGAATTATGGTAAATCTATTCAAATCGCTGCATAGTTGCAACTCGCCCGTTGACCCGTCTGCGTCCCTACCTCCTCGACGAGCTACGCACCCCTGCCTGGTATCTACTACTTCGGCTGCATTCTCGGATATCCTGCCCGACCACACTCGTGACGTCGCTTTAGCCGAACCGCCGCAACGAGTACCTCCTGATCTACACATAATTGTGCTTCCAACAATATATAAGAGGGTTTGAGAAAAAGCATAGGAATAGTGTACCTAGGCAGAGAAGCGTTGAAAAATGGAGATTGCATAATGCCGGCTGATATAGCTGAAAGTAATGTTCATGAATGGAGAACAAAAAATCATTCCTGAGAAATCCTCACCGATTTGATTTTTATTGCCGTCATAGAACGCATTTACTTCCATCACCGACGTGTCGAATGTACCCCGAGAGTTGATCATGTCCAATTTCAGAAATGCGGTCTCCTGCATCCACTGATGAATAGCCATTGAGATGTCGTAGTACGAGTTTAATGATGAATAGGATAACTGAAAAAGATTGATTCAGAGTTTTCAAGAAATGAAACGCGCTCAGGTTCAACCCGCTCCAACCTAATTTATAATGTTCTACTCACATGTGCGTATCGCACCTTCCGCATTGTGTCGTTGAAAATGCTGTTGTCATAGCCGATAAAATCTCGAATAGCGTTAGCCTAAATGAGTAAAGATTCATAGTAATGGAGTGTAGAGTAGTGTCCAGAGATTTTCCGAAAGATTTTGACCGCTTCCCCATTTCTCGAAAGCATGAGCATCTCGACCTGCACTCTCCAAAATGCAAGCTAGACAAAAGGAGTGGAGGGGCTAAAAATCTTATGGAAGTTATGTGCCAAGACGAGAGAGAATAAAGCCCATTTCGTTGTAAATTCTCAACCAAGCATTTGTGAATAGTTGATTGGAACAATGGATGACATTGAAAGCCCATCAGGTAAAGGGTTTATTAGGTAAGAATCACTCCAGAGTGGTGGTGACTGGCCGGTGAGTTGATGTCTGCGTCTCTCTAACTTTACATTTTCTCAGATGTTTGCCGTCTTCACTCTCATCCCGAGGCTCATTCACCCCCTTTCGAGTTGTGAGTATAGAGAGCTTGAAGGCCTCTTCTAGGCAAGGCAGAAACACAGACGGTTGGCGGACGAGTTCCAGCACGTAGCGATCTGGTGTCGAGCCGATTTGATTGCGCTATAGTACGTAGGGTACGCGGTGCAACTCGTCCGCTGACCTGTCTGCTTCTCTGGCTTCTCGCCGCGCCACCTTCTCCTATCGGGTATCTGGTCAAGTTGCGCTACTCGTGCGATTTCACTACCTCATTTGTTCCCTCACCCCGTTGTCTATGTTCCAATCCAGCTAATTTAACTATCTTGGTGCCTAGGTGACTCACTTTTCGTCGAGCTCTTTTCTTTGTGTTCGCATCCATCCACTCGTTCTTGCTCAACATCTCCAGAAATGCCGCTCGTACATCTTCTACCAATTCCTTTACGAGAAATACTGAAAATGACCACTTCATCATGAAAGATATTTGTAAACAGGCGACGAACGGTATTCGTGAAGTCTAGACTGGTCTTCCCTTACCGCTGTCGAAGTTGAAGTATCTTTCAAGATATCGTCGTCCAGCAATATCGTAGAAAGTGTTCATAGTTAGACTGACGCAGTCTTCAATTCGATCTATTCCTGTCACGCCGTAGACTTGCTTCGTGAATTCCTTAAAGGCGGAGTTCACAACTGGAAGGCAGCCAATCAGAAATAAAGTAGTGGCGGGTGTCTTAATTGCCCGTTGATTTCTATATTGATGCGACCCTCATCGGCGCTGCCCTCTTCAACGCTAATGCTCTTCCTGATATACGGCTGAAGACGCGCCCGATGTGGTTAGCCAGTCGGTGGGCGTGCCGCGGCCATAGCGCCGCGGAGACTGGCACGTCCTCCGCTGCGAAATGCGTTTCGGTCCGCACCCAGGGGATGTGCCTGTCTTTTCACTAGGTGAGTTTCCACTTCTTCGACCCCCAACCTGATAGTGAAATCTTCCTTTGAGCTATTATAATATCAGCTCAGTACATCAAATCCATCTGTAAACTCCCAATAACCACTCATCATCCCCCAGTGAAGTTCAGCAGAAACGCCTGACAGGCGATTTGTCGGAAGATGAACTTCCTATTCAATCAGCACCAGCGATTTTGCGGACCCTTGCAATTAGTCCAACGATTGGGGTGGGGGGGGGGGGAGGGTTCTCGGCTCAGGGACAGAATGTGTAGCAGTGTCCCTGCAGGGCAACTATCACTGATCGCCCCTTCTTGATGATACAACCCTTCGGGCCTAATATTGCCAAGTCGTCTGATGTATGACATTGACGTCCTACATCGATACACATCTAAGCCCCATCCAGGAGGAGGAGATGTGGGAACAGTCGTAGAGAGCGGGTCAGTTCCTCTACGCGATTTCCACCGCGGCATGCATCATCTCTGCCTCCCTCCCTTCAGCAACTTGCAGGGTCTCCCGAATCCGGGGCCCTTTCAAAAATTAGACTCTCCCCTACGCTGCGCGAGCTTGGCACCCGCCACCGCAGGGGACAGTATCACAACTAATGCCACTTCCGTACCTATATCGCATTTCACTTCCTAAGCCTAAGTCTGGCTGCTACGTCGCCAATCACATAATGCATGACATTGGCGTCGTACATCGCGCGGGATTTGGCGAAACCAATCTCTAGGGCGAGACTTGCAAAAGAATCGTGAACGAGGCCAAAACTTTCAAAGCCATTGTGTAGTAGTTTTGGAAACCAGGTAAGGAGATTTTGTGAAAATCGTGTTGGAAACCAGGTAAGGAGATTTTGTGAAAATAGTGTTGGAAACCAGGTAAGGAGATTTTGTGAAAATCGTGTTGGAAACCAGGTAAGGAGATTTTGTGAAAATCATTATTTCTCAAATAAGCACTGAAACCAATCTTATTGTCCGATTCATTTCACCATTTTTTTGGATTACCCGGCTGCATTTTTCCTATAAATGTTAGTTTTTGGGTTTTTAGTAATCAAACTTTTAAAAATTGTTACTCTGGTAGCTGACTAAAAAATTGAGAGGTGTTACTCGTTCGAAATGATGCCATTTGCTTCCAAGTGCCGTCAGTTGGATGTCTTTTTCGGCTTTTCAAACACAGCAAAAACACTTCTTTCCCTTTTCACTCTTCTTTTGCAGCCTAATACATCGCGCTGGAACGTTTTATCTTTACCCTAGAATTTGAAAGGTTGAATTCAACTACGATGGTACGCCTTATACAAGACCTTTCCTTTTCCTACCTCGTTCCATACGCTTTTTGAGGTTTGTTTCCTTTCGTGGACTTTCTTCCCCTTCATAAGACTTGCCACGCTGCAGCTACTCTTATAAGTGAAGTATTATGCGTTCAAGGAAAACACCGACTTCAAGTGCATGATTACTTTTAGGGTGTAGTTCACGTAAGAAGGCAGCCCATTAGAAGTAGGTGGAGGTAGTCAGTGGTCCCGGAATGGAGAATAAACATCAAAAAGTTCCGAGGAATGGGTCCTTTCCTTGCTCGTTGATTCCAGCATTGAAGCACCTCGAAGGATCATTGTAAGTTTCCATATCCTCTACCTATGACCTTATCGTGAGGTCCTCCTTCAAGTTCAATGAGCTACGACTGTCTTCTTAATGTGGACTATTCTTGCAGATTTCCTGAGCACCCGATTTTTACAGGCTATCAAACTACGGTGCCATAGGAGTCGTCGCTGGACATGAGGTCACCCACGCCTTCGATGACAGTGGTAAGACACCGCAGCGATCGAAAGTGATGCCGACATAGTTTTTTGTGCATCATTTCTCCTAAATTGAATAATGCGCTTCAAATATTGACATGTCATGTCGGCTCAATGTGGCTCGAGGGGGGAGAGGGCAGTCGCCGCGCCCGCACGACATGACGCGACATAGTGGAAATTCGAGCATTCCAGCTTTTCACGCATGTCAAGTGACTGCCTCATCCCTCTCAACTCTCCCCCTAGACTGGCTACACTCCCCTCGCTGACGGATTCCCCCTCCGCACTGAGGTGCGCGAACACGCGACGCGCTGCGGCGGTGACTGTCCCCCACCCCTCAAGCCACATTGCGCCGCTATGTCTTTTAATGTTTTCGATTCCTTAAATTTAGGGATTGACGCTTTGGAGGAGGTGTCTGGCTAATCTTTGTATCACTTTCGAGAAAAAAAGGAATGCACGAAAACAGAACACTTTAGGCCGCTTCTCTATCTAAATTGCACATGGTTTCAAATAGATAGCGCAAGTGTTCCATCCCTTGCTGAAAGCGGATTGGAGCTGGCTGGTCTTCTTCTCTTTATGCTTTCCTATTTTTTGAGTTTCGCTTCACATCTGCAATTTTATAATAGGTGCTTCTTATGATGATTTTGGCAACAAACGTCCGCGTCGATAGCGAAGCGGGATGGCCATTGAAATATTAGGTACCGGATATCTTAGTGTCGCTTTTCTGAGTTCAGGAAGTTTTGGGGCCGATTACTATGGAAAATCAATATCCCAGAAGGCAGTTTTTGCTCATTAATATTGCGAAATATGTTGCTTACCGTCTTCTTAATGTCGTATAACGAAGTTATTACAGGGTTGGTTCACAAGATTAACTTTCCCCCGCGCATGGCCACGATCAGGGCCTCGGCCCATTTTTATACTTTCTTCTGAAAATTCCTGGGTCCAGTGTGCAAATTCGCATGTGTGTACCAAATGCATCAAAATTCTTGCTGAGAGCTGTAACCTCCGCCCACCAAACCAGCATTGCATTTGATGGAGGGAATACTACCATTTAAAATGCTCATCGGTTTTTCACAGTTTTCTTAAAAGACAGTAAAGTCTTTGAAGGGATGCCCGCAACCGTCGCCAAAAAGGTGGTCCTAGCTAAATCAGTCAAAACGGGGCTGCACCAGTCTTGTGCTGGAATGGTAGGACACCCTAGCAGTTACTGATCGATGGTGCACAGACGCTCTAACGAAGTTGATTGACCAAGAAATTCTAATAAATGTGCTCATCTGCTACTCACGTGTGCTCAAAAAGGGTGCGTTTTTGACCCTATGTGGCAAAAAAGACTCCGGGAAAAATTGTCCAGTTGAGCTGGTAAGTAATAAATTTTCCACCAAACAGTGCAGACCCTACTCTAACTAAATGTATACATATTTTGTCCAGGCCCAACTGTTTAGTTTTTTTTTTTTTTTTTTTTTTTTTTTTTTTTTTTTTTTTTTTTTTTTTTTTTTTTTTTTTTTTTTTTTTTTTTTTTTTTTTTTTTTTTTTTCTTTTTTTTTTTTTTTTTTTTTTTTTTTTTTTTTTTTTCTTTTTTTTTTTTTTTTTTTTTTTTTTTTTTTTTTTTTTTTTTTTTTTTTTTTTTTTTTTTTTTTTTTTTTTTTTTTTTTTTTTTTTTTTTTTTTTTTTTTTTTTTTTTTTTCTTTTTTTTTTTTTTTTTTTTTTTTTTTTTTTTTTTTTTTTTTTTTTTTTTTTTTTTTTTTTTCTTTTTTTTTTTTTTTTTTTCTTTTTTTTTTTTTTTTTTTTTTTTTTTTTTTTTTTTTTTTTTTTTTTTTTTTTTTTTTTTTTTTTTTTTTTTTTTTTTTTTTTTTTTTTTTTTTTCTTTTTTTTTTTTTTTTTTTTTTTTTTTTTTTTTTTTTTTTTTTTTTTTTTTTTTTTTTTTTTTTTTTTTTTTTTTTTTTTTTTTTTTTTTTTTGATTTGTCAGATGATTCCAAATCGACCTACCTCTCTTTTTCGTCTCAAAAAATTCCTAACTTTAATCGTACGAGGTTTTCACTCATACTGGTAAATGGGAAAGGGCTAATGAGTCATTCGATGGATATGCCGTTTCACTCACTGGATTTTGAATTAAAATATTGGTGGTCCGAAACTCGCGGTGAAAAAACGACACTAAGATATCCGGTACCTAATAGATCGCCGGGACATATCCTTGGCAGCGTTAGCACGTCGCTCCGCACGCTTAGAGTCTCCGCCTGTCTTTCCACCAAGTAAGTTTCTTTATTCAACCTTCCTTATCGGGGAATCCTTTGAAGTGGGAACGACATTGCCTTTGATGTAGCAAGAAGGAAGACAGACTAGCAGTAGTACTACCTTTCACACCCTTCGAAAAGAATGAGCTGTACGGTCGCGGGTGGTTATATTACCGGGATTCAAGGTCAGCTATTGTAGTTCAAAAAACCCCTTTTTCTATGCTGCGTTTAATACTTGTAGCGGAAACTAGACAAAAGAAACGATAACAGTTGCTTTACCTCCCCCCTCTTCCCCATGAAAAAAACCTTGGATGCCTGGACCTGCCTCATCTATTTCCAATACATATAGGGTATGCAGTCGGCCTAGTACAACATGGAAATTTGCTAACCTCCATCAAACGTTGGAAATCTTCTCCCAGAAAGTCGGCAAAGTGGAAAATGACCTGAAATGAATGGAAATGGCACGGACAAGATCTCCAAGCACTAGTACAAATAACTGCGAACTGAGAAATTTCGTTGAAAGCGAAATTGATCGCTGCTGGGTCCAATAAGGTTGAAATCATTTGAATTAGCCTTTTCTTGTAAATATACCTTCACTAGGTTTATCTAACTGTCATTGAAGGCAGTGCTTACGAAGAAGTGCGGTAGCGAGGAGGTATATAGTACACCATCGCAAGCGAAAGCTAGGTGAAAGAAGCGAATCTTACGGTTTTTGCGAAATGAGAAGCGCTGGTTGTGGCGCAAACAAAAATGTCCCCACCTCAAAATCGCTCTATACACAAATGCGGTCTCGCGTTAGGCTTAATTGTCTTGCAGTTTTCATTTTGGAGGCGCATTTATCATGAAGCCGTATCTTGTTATCTTGTCATGCCAAGTATTCCTTCAGGAAACTCGAAGTCAAACAAAAAATTCTAGGTCGTTAAAGGCAAAGTTCGGGCTCAGACCCACCTAATAAGCCCTTAAAGTGGCTAGAAGCGCATGGGACGCAACTGCAGGCGACTCGCCAAGTTCCCGCATCGAAATGCGTCACTAATGGTAGACGCTAAGATAATTCGACTGACCGGAAAGTTACACGCAACGTTTTGGATTACAAATAGTATAATAATCTAAACACTGAAATGAGTAGAGACTGCTACGTTGCGGAAAGTTTCAAAAGGGCCGGCAGGGAGATGAGAGATAATGTGAGCGCGGAGAGCGGTAGAGAAATCCGAGAAGAGAGAGCATAGCAGATCAGCATTGCGACGCAGACAAAATATCGAGCGGTGGGCGGAGCGTGTCGCAACAGGTGGAGCGTGTCAAAGTCCTTGGCCCTAGCGCCGTAGTGACGCATTTCTATGCAGGAACTTGGCGAGTCGCCTGCAGCTGCGTCCCATGCGCTTCTTGCCACTTAAAGAGCTTATTAGGTGGGTCTGAGCCCGAACTTTGCCTTTAACGACCTAGAATTTTTTGTTTGACTTCGAGTTTCCTGAAGGAATACTTGGCATGACAAGATAACAAGATACGGCTTCATGATAAATGCGCCTCCAAAATGAAAACTGCAAGACAATTAAGCCTAACGCGAGATCGCATTTGTGTATAGAGCGATTTTGAAGGGGGCACATTTTTGTTTGCGCCACAACCAGCGCTTCTCATTTCGCAAAAACCGTAAGATTGGCTTCTTTCACCTAGCTTTCGCTTGCGATGGTGCACTATAATATACAGGGAG